GAGAGAAAACATGAAGAAGAAATGAACGAGATTAAAAGAAGAATGGAAAAAGAGAAACAAGAAATTCAGCAGGAAAGAGACCTGAGGCTCAAAGAAATGGAGGAAAAGATCAACAAGGAGCGTGAGCAGAGAAAGAAGGAACAGGAAAGTAGAGAGGAAGAAGAAAGGAAAAGAGAAGCTGAGGAAGAAAGGTATCGACAGAAGCAAAAAATGGAGCTTGAAAGTTTGGACAAACAAATCCAATTAGAAAAAAAGGAAAAGAAAAGTGTTGACAGAAAGCTGGAAGAGACCAGAGAGGAGCTGAGAAGGAAACAAGAAGCCTGGGAGGAAGAGCGAAGAGCGTGGTGGGAGAAACGAAAACAAGAAGATGAAGAGAGGCGACAGGAGGAGAAAAGACTAATGGAGGAACTGAAGGAAAAGTACATGCAGGAACAAGAAGAATATGAAAAGAAACGAAGAGAAGAAGAACAAAACAGGAGAAAACAAGAAGAAACAGAACGGAAACTGTTCAATGAAAAACTAGAAAATCTGAAGAAGACGTATGAGGAGGAAGCCAGGAAGAAAGCTGAAAAATTCAACGAATTCAGAGAGAAACTCACCAAAGAGTTCACAGCTCAGAGGCAACAGCATGAAGAACAACTGAAAGATAAAGATGAGAAGTATGACCTGTTAAAGGCATTCGCAGCCCTAAAAGAACAAGAGAAGATGCAAAAATATCAAGAAGATATCAATAACTTAGTGAAGTGTGTGTCCAAGAAGAGAGAGAACCTGGAAAAAATCAATACCTTGCTGACAACACATGAGAACCAAATGAAGAAGGCGACAAGTGAGGAGGAAAAAGAAAACCTGCAGAAAAAACATGAAACAGAAATGAGCGACATGATACAGAAACTTCTGAAGGAAGAGTCCACCTGTGGCATTTTATAAGGTGAAACTGACACAACATTTGTGCAGCAGCTTTCTGCAACCCAACATTATATTTTACTGTCAAGTGACCTTAAGCAGTCCAATAACTTCCTGTTTATAAAACCTAAAACAACTGTTTTATCAGTCGTATATAGGATCTACAGG